ACGGTTGGCCATGGCAGACCGGAAGGCGAGGTTATGGGAGATCTCGTGAATGGCGAGGAAGAGGTTCTGGTTCGAGGTGGCTCCGATCACGTATGCAGTTGCGAGAAATTTCCAGTCGAACATGGAGGTGTTGCGGAGCAGGTAGGCGCAGAGGACCTGGAGAGAGACGACGCCCAGAACGACATATTTGGTCAGGGGCTCTGGTCCGCAGAGCTTGGTGACCTGAAGGAAGCGCAGAGGATGTCAGTAAATGATTATTTGGCGGAAAAGGCCACGGAGAAGTATGTGCATACCTCCGGGTGAGCTTTGATAATGGCTTGTCGTCTGGAGCGATGCGGCTCCTCTGTGTATGTCCAAAAGAAGTGATCATCGACAGCGGAGGATTCTGGAGGATCGATTCTGGTTGAAGGCTCTGTTTTATTGGGGGTAGCTTGCGCAGCCTGGCCCTTGGATGCGGACACGCGGAGATGCGGTGAGGCATCCGCGGTGGCTTCGACGACGGACGAAGACATAGCGAGGGACGAGTAGGGGCGAAATGACAGACTTTCCAAGTGGCAATTTACGCCATAGATGACTGCGACTGAGGAGTAGGAGGAAGGAAGAAGAGAGTGTGGGAGAGAAATGGGCTGATGAGAGAGAGCGCAAGGAACAGAACAACGTGAGTTTCGGAGCGGATGCTTTCCACGTGGGGCTACCCGGGTCCACGGATGGTCCGATTTCATCTACGCTTTTTACTATTCGGTGAAAGTTATACATAATCATCGGCATCATTGGTCAATAGTTAACATGCATTTCATATACTTGGTTCGTTTCAAATAAGGCTAATTGAAGTGGTACAATCCCTAAACCCTCGACCAAAGATAGTGCAACCTAGTAGTCGTCGCCGCGACTGATGACTTCCTTTACATTGGGTCGAAGGACAATCGTCTGTTGTCTGGTTAGCTGTATGTCTATATATCGTGAGAGCTGCAGAAAGACGTACATGTTCATACTGGGCAGTGTAGGAGCCCTTGATATCGCAAAGAGGCGGGTAGTCCTGGACAATTCCGGACGAGACCAGGTTGTTCAACTGCACCAGGTTAGCATTGACACATTACGAAGCAGAGGAATTACTCACCCCAAGGAGGTACTTATCCTGGCCCAACCGGTCAAGGTAACGGCGACAGAAGGGAAGAGTACCGAAGTTCTTGTTGATGACGTTCAACAAGTTCTTCGCCGAAGAGAGACGCAGAGGAACCTGACTGTGATCAGGGATCAGAGCGTAGTGAGAGGTTTCCATCTTCATATCAGTTAGCAAATGAATAATATCTGGCCAATAAATGTCGACAACTTACATCCTCTCTCACGTAACCCTTTCCGGTACTACCGAAGGTCTCAATGGCGAACACTTCACCCTCCTCCATCTTGGTCTGGTCGCCACCCTTGACAATGGGAACACTCTTGCCACCGTGAATGATGTGCTGGTCAATGTTGTGACCGTTGAGGTTCCGGATACACTTGACGGGATACATGGTCCCGTTGATTTCAACTTCGTAACTCTCCATGGCTTCCTGGACGGCGGCACCAATGTCGCTCATGCGGACGTCGATGCCCGCTTCCTACATCAAGCTGTTAGTAACCAAGCACCCGGTACTAGGATAGAAACTGTAGACATACGCGGATACCAGTGTTGGTAGCATCCTTAACGGCCGCCAAGAGAGGGTCGTACACCGGGTCAAAGGCCACGGTGAAAGCACTGTCGACGATACGGCCGTTGATGTGGGCACCGAAATCGACCTTCATGACATCACCCTGCTGCAACACCATCTTGTTGCCAGCGTTGGGGGTGTAGTGGGCAGCGCAGTGGTTAATACTGAGACCACAGGGGAAACCCATACCACCCTTGAGGTTATCACCTTCCTCAAGACCCTGGTGACCAGTCAAGGCACGGACGGATTCTTCAATACCCTCCGCAATCTCCGTGAGGGTCTGACCAGGCTTAATGGTTTTTTGCGCATACTGACGAACCTGACGGTGCACCTCAGCGGCCTGACGGTATTCCTGCAGGAAGTCATTCTTCATGCGGTCGAGGTAGCGCTTCTCCTCGTTGGTGGTGCGGTACGAATTCTCATTCAGGTACTCGACGATCTCACCCTCGGGATATTCCTTGCCGGCGAACAGAGTCGACAGGGGAACGCGCGGAGGAGAGGACTGGACCTTGGCGCCTCCCTTCTTCTTCTTCTTGGACTTGCGCTTCTTCTTTTTCTTGGCGGCTGCACATCCGCGGATTTGGTCAGTGCGGGGAGAATTCTGGAATTGGCCCGAGGGGTTGGTATCCGTGGAGAGAAAGCGCACCTCCGCTGGCTGCACCCTCGCCGGCAGCATTTCCATCCTCTACTTCATCATCATCGGAGTCGTCCTCCGCCTCTCCGGCTTGTGCTTGACCAGCGGCAGGGGCGTCCGCCTTCGCGTCGCCGCTTTGACCGTTGACTAGAGAGCGAGCGGGGAAATCTTATCAGCTTACTGCAAGCGGATGGCAGAGGAGGGTTCGGAGATCAGCAACGGGAGTCGTTCAGTGACTTACGGTCGAGCTTCTGCAGCTTCTCGCTAGCCTGGGCAGCCATGTTGAAAAGCTGGGCAAACCGGGATGGATTGGTGGTGGGCTGATGGAGGGGAAAGAAAAATGAGGGCAAAGCGGCAACCGTCGGGGAAAAGACGGTCAATGCCAAGCCTGAAGGTCGCCTTTTGGCTGTTTTCAGGGTTCCGCGGCGCCAACTGGTTAGTTAGGATTGGAGCCCTAGCTGGTTTCTAGATTAATACTGTGGAGAAGCTCTAGGTCAGGTACAACCTGCATGTACAATTTGAATGCATTGACCATACTAATTGCTACCAACTATACAAAAAATTGGGGTCTATATGTGTAGGTATCAGTGTACGCTAACATTGCAATTGGTCGCGTGCGTCTGAACCCTGCAGCAACTTGCCTGACTAGACCATTGACATCGATTAGAGAATAATAGTAATAGAGGGATAGTATGCATAGAAGATACATAATGGCCTAATAAAAAGGACAAAGTGACGATGTCAAGCAACAGCATCTAGAACCACCATCAATGAACCTACATCCATACATGCACACCCATACATCACCAGCACCGCAGAACAAGAGAAACAATAAGAGAACAAACCATAAAATCACTTTATGAATATCTTCAATAATATCCCGAGATCAAGATACACAATCTACACCCAAGCATAGCACCAAATACAACGTAGCACAAAGTATATCTACGAAGTACTCCGTAGAAAGCAAGATCCACCACCAGATCAGATCAGATAAACCCGACCGATGACGCAGCTCCGCCTTCCGAAGAGCGGCGGATTTCCTTCTCTCATCTTATCCCGACCCAGCACCGATAAGTTACAATCTCCAACTCTCCCTCCATTCGATCGCGCCCTCTTCCATTCCCTCCTAACCCTCACCCTCTATCTAATGTAATCAATTATCCCAAATAACCAACACAACACAACACAACACAACACAACCCTCAAAAAGAACCATGACCTTCCCTCGTCTCCGGGGGCCCACGGCCACCCGCCTCCGACAGACCACCACCATCACCACCAACACACCCTACACGAGACCAATCCACCACCGAACATTCACCACATCCACCCCCCACTACTCCCCCTCCGCGCGCGAACCAACCTACTACGAAATCCTCGACGTTCCTCCAACCGCCACCCAAGCCGAGATCAAAAAGTAACCTCCATCTTCCCCCAATCCCTTCCCCCTCACCCATCAACCCCCCCAAACTAACCACATTCCCCCCAATCCAAATAGAAAATTCTACGCCCTCTCCCTCCAACACCACCCCGACCGCAACCGCGACGACCCTAGCGCCTCCAACCGATTCGCCCAAATCTCCAGCGCCTACAACACCCTCAGCAACGCCACGAAACGCAGTATCTACGACCGCGACCACCACATCCACATCCATGCATCCTCGACGCACAGCACAGCAACGCCAGGCCAACACCCCATGGGCAGCTACAGCAGCTACAGCGCGAATCTGCACACGAAGGGGGCGTCGTACGCGGGGTCGCGCCCAGCCAGCGGATTAAGTAAACGGCGGGGTCAGTTTCGTGGACCGCCGCCGAGTTTCTATGCGCATGGGGGGTATGGAGGGACTGGGAGGCGGGCTGGTGGTGTAGGTGGAGAAGGTGGTGGTGGTGGTGGTAGTGCGAAGGGCACAGCAGCTGGGGGAGAGGACGATCCGACGTCATTTATTCATCGGAATACGGTGTGGCATTTTAATGCAAAGGGGCATTATAGGACGCAGACGAGGGAGGATGAGAGGAGGCAGGAGCGGAGGTCGAGGGAGATGGCTGGGGCGTCGCACATTAATGATAAGTATCTTGGGAGTCCCGGGGCCATGGCTGTTAGGTTTATTGTGGTCTGTGGGATATTGATGGGGGCGGGCGCTATGACGGGGGTGTGGAACGGTGATCGGGCCGGTGGGCAGACGAAGTCTACCAAGTCGGTGGGGAGGAAGGAGGGTTGATCGGGGTTTAGACTGTGGTCAGTACTCTTCCTGGTGGGTTGGGTTGGTTCTGTATATTGGGGGCAACTGGCTGGTTCATAGACATTCATCTGGCGCAGGACTTGCTTGGGAGGTTCACTTCGGCATGCATTCGGTTATAGCTGGTTCTATACCCGCGACTCTGCGGAGAGTCCCCATGTGTATATACTATAGACGGGCTTGGCTTGAAACAAGGAAATATAGGCTTGATTGATATACACTATCGTTGAAAGGGTGTGATACATGATTATTATCTAAACATCCATATAACAACCCCGCGCCCACTCCCAACTCCTATCCCGCGTATACCAACAGCCGGACGAGAGACAACCAGGAATCAATCGATAATCTCAATGACTTCCAAAATCTACTCTATCAGGCAGTATCGGAGCACTAAGGACTAGGCATGGGCGGGTGCTGAAAACAAGGAAAATTCATCTAAGCCTCGAAGGTGAAGCTGGCGCCAACCTTGTGGGCGGCCTGGTTCAGGTTCTGGGTATCGAAGGAAGCACCAAGGCCGAGGGTAACACCAGGGCGGAGGAGAACGTTGTAGGCCAGAGCGGCAACACCACGGTCGTTGATCTTGGCCTGTAGAGAATGGGGTTAACGATGATCTGAAAGATCTGAAAAGGTTGCATACCTTGGCGAAGGAAGAGGGGTCAAGGCGGTACTTGCTGGCAACCTCAAGGCCGACGGAGTTGCCGGTCTTGGAGTCCCAGGTAGCCTTAGCACCAGCCTCAACCTGAGCGTTGACGCGGTGGTAGTAGCTGGCGGAGAAGACGGTCAGGTTGTTGCCAGCGGTGATGGCAGCGGAGTACTGGGGAACGCTGTAGCCAACGGCAGCGGAGTACTTGGTGATGGCGGCCTTCTGGACGTCGTAGCCACCCTCAGCACCGACGAGGAAGCCCTCGTGGCCGAGAACAGCGTCGAAGTTGGCGGAGGGGCCGTTGAGGAGGTCGAAGAAGGCACGGGCGTGCAGGTTGGGCTGCTTGAAGTAGAGGTTGAGCTTAGCACCCTTGGACTGCTTGGCAGGGAGGTACTGGGTCAGGATCTCAGCCTTGAGACCCTTGGCGATGTTGTTGTCGAGCTCGAGCTTGGTGTCGAGGGCGTTGGCAGTGGTCCAAGCCTGGGTGAGGGTAAGGCCTGGGTGGGGACGGATAATTAGCATTCCTGCATGTTCCACAATCCTGGACATGAAGTGAAGGAAGAAGCGCTGGGATGGGGCATGGCTGCACGCAAACATGAACGTGAACCTATCCTCAAGCACTGCTGGGGACGAAGGGACGGGTGGTGTGCGCAAGGGATGTTCGCATTGTTTTTTGCGTTTCCGGGGGCCTTTACCAGTGGGCTGGTCAACGTACTTGGCCTCGAGCTATAACAGGATGATGGTTAGCATTATAATCCATAGATCAGTGGAAGGGCGCCAATTGGGTAGTGAACTTACGGAGCCAGCAATGGGACCCTCGTGGGCAGACTTGCCCTTCACGTTGAAGGTGACGCCATTGGGAGCCTTGGACTTAACCTCGAGGTTGGCTAGAGTAACACTTGAGTCAGTCGTGTCGCGCGCAAAAAGAGAAAAAGCAAACAACCCAATCCAGGGGCGCAGGATTTGGGAGGGAACTCACCGGCGCTGTTGTGGTAGAAGTCCTTGTTCAGGAGCTGTTGTGCAGAGGATTAGCACGAAAATCCCTTCCCGGGAAGCTGTCTTCCAAGGTAACAAATTTCAAAGGTGGTGAGGGCAGCATACATCGTTGGCCGCCTTGGCGATGTCGGAGAAAGCAGCAGGAGCAGACATTGTGAATGAGGTGGTATAGGAGATGACGAAAACGTCAGAAGGAGATAAGAGAGGATAGAGTGGAAAGGCTGAAGATGATGAGGGGAGAAGGGAAGGGAAAGGGAAACGATGGGGAAACCGGGCAGGAAAGAAGGTCGAAGTTGAGTCGCCAAACAATGGGGAAGCCACGGGAGAAACCCCCCACCCTGATTGGTCGGTGCTCGGTTGCCGGTAGAAGCCGCTAAGTCCCGTGATGTCGATGCCTGGCGGCTGAGGTTCCGCGCCTGAATTGCGAGTCAACCTTTCCAAGGTTTCCCGAGAGTTCAGCCCGCCGTGTTTTGACTACTCCTACTAACACTAACTAGTTACTTTGTAGTTAGTTGCTTGCTTATCCTCGGCTTCCGTTCGTCCTGAAATATGAGAAAAACAAAGTACAATTGTTTTCTTTCTCAATAATATGAAGAAAAAACAATATCTGCTATTATGTTCTGAAATAGACCGCTTCTCAGAAACATAGCAATGGTATCATCTTGGATGCCTGTCACGCACCCCCATCGGGACAGCATGCATGGACCTACCATGGAACCCAGCCCAACCACATGGGGTTCGTATGACCGTGACAACGCATGTCCCTCCTGATCAGCACCATCCGCGCTTGACTCATAATTCGCCGGTGTGGTAACCTCGCCCGAACTACTCTCAACCATTCCTACAATTCTTACAAATCTTGCCGATCGAAGACAAACAACAGTAGTTGAAGAAGACATCATAGATGAAAGAAAAGGAAAAGCCAATACGCGGTGATCCCGACGCATCTAACTGAAATTCGCTTTTTTTCGCGTCCCAATGAGTATCCCTGGTAAATCATCTATACATGGTTCTATACCCAAACTCTCCGCAAGAAGTTAAGACACGCAATATTCATTACCCAGACATTTAAACGGCGTTTTCGTACTTGGCGTTGTGAGTCGCAATAGCTCTAATAAGGTCAAACATATCAGCTGTCTGTTTTCTTCTGCGTTCTGATGCATCATATGCTTACCTGCCACTCGGGTCGGTCTGCTTGGACCAGGTCGGTACCCAACGCTCAACAGTGCCGGCACAAGAAGGCGGGAAGAGTTCGTCGAACATCGTGCGGTACCAGTAGCTAAGAAAATGTCAGTCCCTGTCTTCGGCAATACAATGACACAAAACTCTAAACATACGCTTCCTTGGTGTCGGGAATATCGCTACCCCACTCGGGCTTGGGGTTCTTCATCATCTCGTCGGTGACGTGCACCTCAGCCTGGTCCTTGAGGGCGTCAATCCAGCTGTAGCCGACACCGTCACTGAACTGCTCCTTCTGGCGCCAGAGAATGTTGTCGGGCAGGTAGGGCTTGACGTCGGGCTCGTCGGTGGTGTCGAACGCCTTACGCAGGATGTACTTCTCGATGCGCTCCTTGGTGATCATCTTCTCGGCAGGCTCAACGCCCATGCAGGTCTCAAGGAACTCCTTATCCAGGAAGGGAACACGAGCTTCCAGACCCCAGGCAGAGGTGGACTTGTTGGCTCTCAGACAATCCGCCAAGTGCAGGTTCTTGACACGGCGGACAGTCTCCTTGTGGAACTCCTCACGGTCGGGAGCAGCGTGGAAGTAAAGGTATCCACCGAAGATCTCGTCACTACCCTCACCACTGAGAACCATCTTGACACCCATAGCCTTGATCTTACGGCTGAGCAGGTACATGGGGGTGGAAGCACGGATGGTGGTGACATCGTAAGTCTCCAGGTGGTAGATGACATCGGAGAGGGCGTTGAGACCGTCCTCAACGGTGAAAGTGAAAGCATGGTGCTTGGTTCCAAGGAACTTGGCCACCTTGAGGGCCGCCTCGGTATCGGGGGCACCAGGCAGACCAATGGAGAAGGAGTGCAGCTGCTGGAAGGTGGTGACGGTGGACAGATCGTTGGAGTCATCAATGCCGACCAACTCGTTCAGCTCAGCACCCTGGGCCTGGGCAGCCTTGGCGGCCTCCTGCATACGCAGGGTTTCACGCTGAGCGATGGAGGCGACCAAGCTGGAGTCGAGACCACCGGAGAGCAAGACACCATAGGGGACCTCAGCCATCAGACGCTTGCGAACAGACTTCTCGAGAGAAGCGCGGATGACCTTGTAGTCAACAGGGGCGGAGGGAACGTTGGCGGGGTCCCACCAGGTCGGCTCGAAGTAGCGGGTGAAAGAGCCGGTCTTGGAGTCGAAGATGTGGCCGGGAGGGAAAGCCTGGATCTTGTCGCAAACCGGGTGGAGAGACTTCAGCTCAGAAGCGAAGTAAACGGCTCCAGGGGTCTCAGAGGACCAGCCAATGTAGAAGCTGGTAATACCGATGGGGTCACGAGCGGCGACAACCCTGTCCTGGTTCTTGTCGTAGAGAACCCAGGAGAACATGCCATCCAGGTGCTTGGGGGCGTCGAGGCCGTGTTCCATGTACTAAGCCCATCAGCAACCTTATACAGATATACACCAGAAAAGATCCTTCGCACATACCAAGGGGATGACGACCTCACAGTCGGAATGCGTCTTGAACTCATACTTGGTCTTCAGGTTCTTCCGGAGGATACGGTGGTTATAGATCTCGCCGTTGACGGCCAGGGCAAGGGAGCCATCGTCGTTGACAAGGGGCTGGGCACCAGAGTCTGCAAAGAAACCATGTTAAGACGGATATCAAAACGATCCGCGGCGAGGGGAAAAATGACATACCAACACCGACGATACACAGACGCTCGTGCGCGAGGACTGCCAGTCAATTAGTCACCACCTTCTTTCAGCCCACGAAGCTGCTCAACTCACTGGTCTTGTCAGACATCCAGCTTCCACCTAGACGCAAGTCAGAATAATGTCCACCAGCATGCTTGCTAAAAACAGGCTTATGACTCACTCCAATCGGGACCACGGTGGCGCAAACTGTTCAACTGCAATCAGCACCAATTCCACCATCAAAAGTGCACCAGAAATACTTACGCCTTGGCCATGCGCAGGGCCGTAGGCTTGAATTTTTGCACATCGGGGTGACTATTGCAGTTCAGATCAGAGGGTGTGACTCAAAAACGGAGAGCGATGGTGGCGCGGGGCCCGCAAAAGAAATCAAAGACTTTGAAAGAGAGAGAGGGGAGAGAGAAGAAAGATTCCAGGGTTAGTCCACATACTGATGACACGCGAAGATACCACACATGCTGACTACAATTCAATTGATGAACCGACTCAGGTAGACAGCAAAAGGGAAGCAATTGACTAATCGAAAGATAGGAGAACGAGGGGAAAGAGAGAGAGATGAAGCGGGAAATCTTAAATATGGAATGGAAAAGCGACACACCCGTTCGCGGCGGCGGGGCGGAACCCGAGGGGCGATTTCGGCCACAAATCTCAGTGACTCACTTCCGATAAGATAGCCGCTAATTTTCCTACGCAGAAAACTGAAATGTCGCTGTGACGGTTACTTTTCTTTCTTTCTATGTCATCCTTATTGGTTGTGCCCTGACAGGTTGGGTCGGGTTCTCTAGTTGGTTCCAACGTTGTTGTGTCCATTTTCCTTCAACTGTCTGCACATCCCCCACATTTTATATTCTACTAAAGTACTTTCTCCAGATTTTTGGTCTTTCTGGAACTTGTTTTACTTTTACGCACTAAGGATGACAGATTGGAGAAAATTGAGTTGGAGTCGATTAGAGAGGACCCTCCCCCCACCCAGGGGGCACAAGCCGTCTGTCTATGGTATGATCATCCGAAAATCGGTCACCAGCATGCACCCTCCATGGTAGACATAGATAGAAGTATGCGAGGAATCCCAAAGAGCAAGGAGAGACATAAGCTAGATAAATCGCATTAAAGTAGTGTCAAACGCCGTCCCGAACCGCCCCGTTTTGTCAGTTCTATGTACGCCACGCTGCTCGCTAAGAAGGAAACCCAAGTATTCCACCCGCCCAAGACAGGAAATAGTCGAGACACGCCTGCGCCCATGCGACATTCCGGAACCGATTTAACTGCAATGGCGCGCTGAGCATGATCATAAACTCCCAAGCGGGTGTATCTGCGCTCTCCCTCTTGGAAGGCTTCCCGTCCTTCTACCCCACGTGGGAACACCTGGTCTAAGACTCTTAAGCCGCCATACCCGCCGTGAAATTCGCAGAACTGGGATGAAGTTGGGGGGACGGAAATAGACACACGACGGGCGGAAGAGTAGCTTCGTGGTGGGATAATAAATTGTCATGCCGTCGTGGGGCGTTGTTTAAAGGGCCGGGTTCTCCCTCACGACCTGTTTAACTCGCTTCTCGTACGCTGGGCGGTCCTTCTTAAACAGGTTGTATGCCTCAGCCTGGGCTGGTGACTCCGGGTTGGGGTCATCTAGCAGATCCTGAATACCCAGGAGAATCTGCTTGATTGTGATTGCGGGCTTCCACGCCTCCTCCTCGTTCAAGATTGAGAGGCACACGGTGCCGGAGGGATAGACGTTAGGGTGGAAAAGCGGAGGCACGAATTTGCCTGTTGGATGCGAATACTCTAGTTAGCTTATTGCGCGAAAAGTGCTATAAACGGAACCTTTCAAACAGCACGGACGAGTGGCGTTGGGGATAGTACGGGAGAGAGGGGAACCTACACTTCGGCGGCTTAGTGGGGTATTCTGCGATAGAATGCGGGTTAGCAGGTTTGTCGCATAGAGCACCAGTCGATAGGCTTCACTCACCATCGGGAAAGGTAACGTCAAGTTTGAAAAGTCCGCCTTCCCAGAGTGTTTGCGCCTTGCCGGGGATACCGCACTCCCATCGTTTGAGGTCAAGCGTTCCTTGAGGAGTCCGATGCGGCTTTGCGTAGAAGCCAAAAGGGTGGTCTCGACGCCACTGCTTTCTGTAGATGGTCGCGTTTGAGGTTAGTTCGAGAAAAGACACGCCACAATATGCATATGCGGTGTTGTCAGTCACCTACCTCTCCTCCGTCAGACGGTTCTGGCAAAGCGACATTTTGGGGATGCGGTTTCGGAGTACGTAGGTGGGCTGGAACCGAAGAAGGCTGGGATGATGGCGAGAGGGTTGAGAGAGCTGGGAGGGAGAGGGGAAGAAGAGGAGAAAGCGAGGCGGGAGGAACGAAGTCAGAGGGATTTAAAGGATAGTGAGGTAGGCAAATTAAGGTCGGCCGTGAATGCGCAGACGAAGTAACACTGTCTTGGGCGTGCAGCTGCTCATCGCTGGGTTTGATGCCCCACAGCCAATCAGTCCCCGGCGGCGCTGCAGTTTATCGCTGTCACATGACCTCATAGATCCGCATCGAACTTTTTGATCGATGAAAGTTCATTGGCACGTCTTCCATTTCCTCCCTCTGCAGTTGTGCCTTGGGCGACGGAACCAATGGGGTCTTCCATGTGTCCTTGCGTTGTACATGGTGGTTCTATTGGGTACACACAGTTGACATGCAGCAATTATTCCCGGAGATCGCCGTCAGCCAACTCAATGTACAGAGATGCCATGTACCAATGAAGGAATTAGTTAAGAGGTTACTGCTACTAGTCTCTCCAACCACTCCAGCAACTTCCTCATATCAGTGGTACATTAGTAGCTGCGCTATGGTTGTAGCAAAAAGCCTTTGTCAGGATGTATAGACTATCTCAAACAACATAGTACATTGTATGTATGGATTTAGGCAACAACCACTGTGGAAGGAGCCTGGAAGCAAAGTATATCTCATGTTTTAAGTCACATGATCTTAATGCAGTATAGATAGCCACAGGGGAAATCATGATATCTGGTCTTTGAGCACCGATAGTAATGCAAACAGTGACCGAGTTTAATGTAAGAGTTGAAATGGATGCATTCTCCTAACAGTCTTGTTCTGGTTCCCCAAAATGACTATGCTAAGTGCCATAAAAGGTGAGAGAATTGTCCCTTGCTTGTATTTCTCAGTTCGCAATTTTGTGAGGTATCATGTACAGAGTCCCTTCCCGCTATTAGCTATCGTATATCCCCTGTTCAAAAGTATGTACATCGTAGAACCGGGCAGTGATGGCATTCCCACTGAATATCCGACCCTCAAGAGCGTTGACGGCCTAGTGTTCTTAGCCAGGTTCTTAAATAAAGCATTAGATGGGCACTGATGCAGCACTTACACGTAGAGCCGAGAGCTGATTAGTGAACTTAACAAAAACTGGCACTGGAGGCGCCGAGTCTCGAGGTATGAAGACACGTTCAACACGACCGTACTGTATCTCATTAGACCGTGCCATGGAATAGGCAAACATCCACTTACCTTCTCAGAACACTCTTCACCAATCTCTTGCATAAGACCACCGCCCTCGCCATCCCCAGCTAATTCAGCATCCAAGTCCATTCCGTCAAGCATACCCTTTAAGATAATGACTTCACTCATTGGACCAAACTTCCCTTCCTCTTCATTCTTCCTTGCGCCACCAATGATCTTGCCCCGACCAGCGGGCGTTGCGAAGCCTCCACCTTCGGAGTCCGGTCGCTTCTTCTGCTTCTCAACCTTGACTTGCAATGGCTTGACAATGCCGGTGCCCGTAGCACCCAGACCAGAGCCCTTAGTCCAGCCATACTTGGCCATGAGACGTTCAGCAAATCCCTTCTGTCCTGGCCGCAGCGAACGCTGGCTCTCATCCTCCGGCTCATCTTCCACTGGCTGCTCCTTTGCGAAGACTTCTTCCAGTTCCGCCTCCGACGCAGGTATGTCCTCGGGTGGAGGAGGAAGCGTGTAGCGAACTGGTGCTCGGGATATAGTTGCGGAAGCTGGTTGTAAGGATTCTAGGGGCCTGGGCGGTGGCGGGGCAGCAGGAGCTGCTGCAGGCTGGTTGCCCATTGACAACTGAAGGCGCCGTAAGTAGGCATCTTCGCCTGTAGGGTCATCCGGAACCTGCGCGGGCGGCTCATCGGTTGGGGGTGGCGGTGGAGGAGCATCCGACATGGAGATATCTCCTGGGGTTTCGCTTGTTCGTTCTGGAGGAGATTCGATGGGTGGCCTGGGCGGCATATCGTTGAGATTGGGAGGCGGCGCGAAGCTGCTCGGAGGAGCAAATTTACCTATGACAGTCATGAGTATATGAACACGATCTTGAGAGCGAATTGCTTACGATTCATGGGTCGTGCATATCCATCGTCACTTAGTGAGTCCCTGCTGGGCGATCTGGCCATGCGATGTGCGTAAAGACGGTCTTTCCACTCCCTCACCTCAGCTATTTGTTCGTCACTGTGCTTGTACTCTTCATAGTTGTTCGGTCGCGACGGGTCATAAATGTCGTCCCAGTTCTGCACAAACTCCTGCGCCTCGCGGTTCTTCTTGCGCTTCTTGCGCCCACCTCGTTGCCTCTTCGGACCGGCATAGAATCCATTAACATCGTCATCCTCCGTGGCTGCCCAATCTGCGAGAGTAGTTTTCACGGGGGCTGCTGCCGGGGCCGCGGGTGCAGCAGCAGCCTTTGGTAACGTCGGTTTCGGTTTCGGTTTCTGAGCTGCTAGCTGGGGCCTCTTGGTAGGCTGAAATCTGAGAGAAGCTGGAAACCACCGATGAGAACAACCGGGCGGACAAGTGAGCAATCAGATCGTTCAAATGCAGATAAAACGGCTCAGTCAACAAAAGAGGGTATGAGTCTACCAGCACTGAGCTGCTGCTTTTTGGCAGCGGATTCATCGGACTGAGAGTCATTATTCTCGGTAGTGCTACTCTGCTTAAAGACGACCGGGGCGCGAGCGATCGTTCCGGGCGAGTTATCGGCAGATGGATCTAGAAGGTTGGCGTAGAGTGACAAGGTGCCCCCTGGCTTCGCGGGGGTGGAATCAGAAGCCATATCTGATAGGAAACGGAGAGAAATCAAGATCTAATAAGCATGAAGGGACAGTTCAAGCGACAGCTTTACAGGGTACCATCAATCGATCATCAAGCAATGTGAACGGGGCCGATAGAATGAGGAGAGGTTTGTCTAGTTTACATGGTTTGCTTAGTTTGTTACATTGTGGCGGTGACTAACCAGAATCAGCTGTCCCAAACAGGAAATAATGGGGGAGCGGAGCCCAAAGAGGAGATCCCGAGGTCGGATGGAGAGACAAGAAAGGGAACCCCTATCCCTTCAGCAAAATACCCTGGGAAACAAGTCCTCGTGGTGTTGTGAATACTTCCTGAATTCTGATTCTCCATCTCACAAGTCCCATAAGCAATTGGATCTCATCAACTCTATTGATTCGTTTCCGATCAGCATCCCTGCCAAGCCAAGACCCTAAGCGTTACTATCCTGCAGCATACTAACGACGATGGCGACCTTGGCCCGGTCATTTTCCTCCGATAGTGCTGACCTTGCTGTCCTAGTCCCCAATAAACCCACTCCGCTGTCGATCTCCTATCAGCAGCTACACAACCATATCGCCGATTTCCAGGCTAAGCTAGCTCGACTGGGTGTCACTCATGGCGCTGCGGTCTCGCTGGCTCTGATTAACTCCTATGAGTTCATAGTCGCCTTTCTTGCCGCCTCCTGGCAACGTGCCATCGCTGCGCCCTTGAACCCGGCCTATAAGCAAGAGGAATTCGAATTCTATATTGATGATCTGAGCTCCACTCTGCTTTTAATTCCGAAGGGATCATACATAAAGGATGGGCCGGCCGTTCGCGCGGGCAGGAAGTACCAGGCCGCTATCGCGGAGTGCTACTGGAACGGTTCCGAGATCGTTCTAGACGTCAAGGAACATGGAAAGTTGGCTGGCAATGGAGGCGCAGATATCCAGGAAGCTCAGCCTGATGACATTGCCCTCGTTCTACATACCAGTGGGACGACTGGCAGGCCCAAAGCTGTAAGCTCGATCTACTGACTCACATCCCATTGGATATCTCATATCGCTAACATTCCGATCTACTACTTGCCATGCAGGTCCCACTCACTCACAAGAACCTGACAACCACAATGAGTAAGTAGCAAATATAACTATACAGACACACCCACAAAAGCAAAAATAGACAATCTCAAGAACAAATTCACTGACCCACCACAGGGAACATCCAAGGAACATACAACCTCACCCCAGCAGACCGAACATACCTCGTGATGCCACTATTTCACGTCCACGGTCTCCTCGCAGCATTCCTAGCCCCTCTATACTCCGGAGGCTCCGTCATAGTCCCTCCCAGATTCTCCGCAACAGACTTCTGGACCGACTTCACCACTCACAAAGCAAACTGGTACACAGCAGTACCAACCATCCACCAAATCCTCCTCAAAACACCCCTTCCCAACCCAGTCCCTCAAATCCGCTTCATCCGCTCATGCTCCTCACCCCTCTCGCCCAAAACCTTCCAAGATCTAGAAAAGGCCTTCAACGCCCCGGTCCTCGAAGCCTACGCCATGACCGAAGCCGCCCACCAAATGACCAGCAACCCCCTCCCCCCAGGAAAGCGCCAACCCGGCAGCGTAGGCCTAGGCCAAGGCGTGGAAGTACGGATCCTCGACAACAACGGCAACGAAGTGCCTCAAGGCCAAGAAGCAGAGATCTGCGTCCGAGGCGACAACGTAACAAAGGGCTACCTGAACAACCCCTCCGCCAATGCATCCTCCTTCACTGCGGACGGATTCTTCCGTACAGGCGATCAGGGCAAGAAAGACGCCGATGGCTACGTTATCATCACAGGCCGTATCAAGGAACTGATCAATAAGGGCGGTGAGAAGATCAGTCCGATTGAATTGGACAATACGCTTTTGCATCATCCGAAGGTCGCGGAGGCCGTGTGCTTCGCTATTCCGGATGAGGGTCACTATGGAGAGGATATTGGGGCTGCGGTGGTACTTAAGAGTCGGGATGCTGCTACTGAGGAGGAGTTGAAGGCGTGGGTGGAGTCGAAGTTGGCGAAGTTTAAGACGCCTAAGAAGGTGAGTTTGCCCCTACGTTGTTGTAGCTTTGATGAGATATGGGGTCACTAATTGAGTTTGATAATGTAGGTGTGGCTTGTTCCGCAGATTCCCAAGACAGCGACGGGAAAGATTCAACGACGCAAAGTGGCAGAGGCGATGCTCAAGGTCAAGGCGAAGCTGTAAAATATGTGTGTAACCTTTCTATCTACACCATAGAATGTCTTCTATAGTATGAGAAGTATGACGTTGTTTTCCAAGATCAATTCAAATATGCTACCTGTCATGAACCATGTTACTACGAAATGATAAAGTATAGAATTATATGAAGCAAACCCGCTTAATCCTACAATATGCGGTTCTTTCAACATTTAGTTATTACCTAAGTAGTAGAAGTAGTAGTACTAAGTACAACATGATCGAACTGTAGATAACACACAACAACAACCTGATTTTCACCGATTAGTAAGTATCATTAGGATTATCGAAAAGGCTTGTTGCTCGATGGCGACGCATATCTGGAGCTCTCAAGACCGCCCAGGGCGGAAGGGGAGGGCTTGGCCTTCGGAGCGTGAACAGATTGTTGCAGAGCAGGTGAAGGTCTGGTGGCCGGCTTGGGAATATTTCCTGATGCAAGTCGTGGCGCAATTGGTCTGGGGGTCTCCTCTTTGCCAAATCCTTCCCTGACCGGTGTCTTGATGGTCAATTTGTGTGAGACTTTAGGTGGAATCGAAAACTTGAACCGGAGTTCTGGGATCTCTGGAGTTGAAGTAAGTATTGGACATGAGAAATATGCATATATAGATAGATAAAGGTAATACTTACCATCGGCTGGTGGCTGCTTCGGCGCAAGCTGCTCGGTTCCAGAGGATATGGTCTCTCTACGCCTA